CCACATCAAAAAGTTAGAAAAACCTCCTTAATAACAATATCACAACTAAAAGAACTAGAGAACCAAGAGCAAACAAATCCCAAGGCTAGCAGAAGACAAGAAATAACTAAAATCAGAGCTGAACCAAGGAGACTGAGACAAGAAAAATCATTTAAAAGATCAACGAATCCAAGAGCTGGTTTTTTGAAAAAATTAATACAATAGACCACTAGCTATTAGTTTATATTATGAACATCTCTTTGCACATAAACTAGAAAATCTAGAATACATGGATAAATTACTAGACACATTCATTCTCCCATGAGTGCGCCAGGAAGAAATAGAATCCCTGGACAGACCAATAAAGAGCTCTGAAATTGAGGTAGTAACAAAGAGCTTACCACCCCCCAAAAAAGCCAAGGACCAGATGAATTCACAGCTGAATTCTACCACACGTAAAAAGAAAAGCTGATACCATTCCTACTAAAATTGTTCCAAAAAATTGAGGAGAAGGAACTCCTCCCTGACTCATTCTACAAGGACAGCATAATCCTGATACTAAAACCTGGAAGACAGAAAAACAACAACAAAACTTTGGATCAATATCCTTAATGAACATTGATACAAAAATCCTCAACAAAATCCTGGCAAACTGAATTCAACAGCACATCAAAAAGCTTATCTACTGTGATTAAGTAGGGTTTATCCTTAGGATGCAAGGTTGGTTTGACAGATGCAAATCAATCAATGTGATTCATCACATAAACAGAAACTAAAGACAAAATGCACATGCTTATCTCAATGGATGCAAAAAGGCTTTCCATAAAATGTAACATTAACTCATGATTAAAGCTCTCAATAAAGAAGATATTAACAGAACATACCTCAAAATAATAAAAGCCATCTATGACCAACTCACAGCTAAAATTATACTGAATGGGCAAAAGCTGGAAGCATTCCCCTTTAAAACTGGTGCATGACAAGGATGGAATCAACCTAAATGCCCATCAATGATAGACTGGATTAAAAAAAAAAAAAAAAAAGTGGTACATAGACACCATGGAATACAATGCAGCCATGAAAAAGAATGAGATCATGTCCTCTGCAGGGACACTGGTGAAGCTGGAGGCCACTGTCATTAGCAAATTAAATCAGGAACAAAAAACCAAATATGGCATGTTCTTACTTATAAGTGGGAGCTAAATGATGAGAACACATGGGCACACAGAGGGGAATAACACACACTGGGGCCTATTAGAGGGTAGAGAGTGGGAGGAGGGAGATGGTCAATAAAAATAGCTAATGGGTACTAGGCTTAATACCTGGGTAATGAAATAATCTATACAACAAACCTCCATGATACAACTTTCCTATGTAACAAACCTGCACTTGTACCCCTGAACTTAAAAGTTTTAAAAAGTTAAAATAACATTAATCTGCCTTATTTTAGCAGGTAGTTGCTCTGTTTAAGTTTAGCATGTTAGTATTGGCCTAACTTTTGTGAGCTGTGGATCCAGGAATGGTTTAATATTCAGAGTCTTTCTAGCATTATTTAGGTCGGCTTGATTTATGTGAAGCTTCTAGAGCTCCCACTGGCCCCTGATTCTGCTGCTTGAGGGAATGAAAGTGGTTTTTCAAGATCAGACTACCAGGTGTGGGAAAAGTGTGGTAGTTTCCTATATCAATGCCCTCTGGCTGCCCCAGTGTCTCTGGGCACTGGGAAGGTAGTCTTGGGCACAAAGTACAAAAGAGGCTTCCTGGGCCAGGTCACTTGCTGTGACTGGGTCCTTTTCTGCTATGTCTATTTGCTACTGTTTCTCTAGGTTTGAGGGTAGAGCCTCAGGCTCACAGACACAAAGCAGCTTCCCAGAGTGAACTACATTTCTTTTTTAATATGACTGACATCCAAAGAATTTAAGAAATTTGTTTGAAATCATAACAAAAGTATAATGCTGAGCAGAGATTAAAGCTTAAGTCTCTAGCAGCCAGCCTGGGGTTCTTTTTACTAAATAAATAGCATCTGAAGCAATGCATAATTAATCATTAAAAGATTAACACATGGTCTGTTTTTAATCTTAAAACAGACATCAATACATGTTAAGTAGTTTTTCAACAAATTCTGATGTGAAGAGTTTGCCACCTAACTTGTTTAACATTCTAATATGTAGAAAAATCAATTGACAAGAAGCTTTTGCCAAATATTTTAGTTAACTAGTAATCCCCAGAAACATCATTTCAAGTCTATGTTACTCTGAGCAAAAAATTAACAGAGACAGCAGAACTTCAGTTTCTTTCTCTGTAAAATGAGATAATAGCTATACTTCAGAAAGATAACACAGGTATTTGGCTGACAATAAATTCTCAGTAAATGATTATTATTTACAGAATAATATCCATTATACAGGTTAAAATTTCTAAAGTTTCTTAATACTTACAGCCTGACGTATTTTGTGTGACACTTGGCTTTGGTTGTCCATTCATAACTTTTGCTACATGAATTTATATTGCCTTCTCTAAGTTGTGTTGAACTCCACAAAAATTACATACAGGGCTAATTTCTCTACTGAAAATATACTTATATAAAATCAGTTTAAAATTAACACCATGTCCACCTTGAAATAGAAAATAAGTTTTAAAAGATCTCTGGAAGCATCTGTGCTGAGATAGAGAGGGTCACTTCTCCTTCTCTGCCTTCATGACAGGAGACAGAGCTGAAGGCTAAGGATTTATATGCATCCTTAGAGACTAGAAAGTGTCGATTTTCTTAAAATTTATTTTATAGCTAAATTATTTTATAACTAAAAATTAACTGTGTGTAAATGCTGACAAAACTGCAAAATCAATTTAAAAATTAAACAGAAATCTAGAAAACCAAAAACATTAAAAGTGAAAAAAAAGGGCCAGGCGCGGTGGCTCACGCCTGTAATCCCAGCACTTTGGGAGGCCGAGGCGGGTGGATCACGAGGTCAAGAGATCGAGACCATCCTGGTCAACATGGCGAAACCCCGTCTCTACTAAAAATACAAAAATTCAGCTGGGCATGGTGGCGTGTGCCTGTAATCCCAGCTACTCAGGAGGCTGAGGCAGGAGAATT